AGAGTTCACTAGTCGTAATCAGCATGATAACGGCTGAGATTACGATTGCTTGTACGATGACAGTGAACGGCATCAGTTTGAAAACGAGGGGTGTTCTTTTTTCAGAGTCGGATAATCCCAATGTAGAGTCCTACGAGGTAGGCCACAAGTACGTGGGCCGGGACGTAGAATCGACACAGGATAATGGTGATTGCTACTCTTGTCAACGCTGAGGTTAACGGGTCTTGCAATAGGAAAGGCAGAACCCAAAGGGTGACCACCGTGAGGATAAGGATGGGATGAATTTTGAGTGCTTTTTCCATTGGTCCACTCGCCATGCGCTAACAATCACGAGATTGTCCTTTCGAACGCAGAGCGATGACCTCTTTCTGGTCAAGCGGGAATATCGAGTTGATGTTCGACCTGTGCACTGATCAACGTATAACGAAGATGGGTAGTACACAGAGTGAGCTTTGGAGTTTAGCAGAGGTGTCGTTGGGTAGCGTTCGTTCTCAGACGTGGCACTAGGCAATGTTGGTACGAGCTTCGGCTAAATGTTAGCCACTAACTCTCAAAACTTGGATCAACTAGGGATCACCACTCGCACTTTGGTGGATGATACGATAGAGGTCAAAGTCTTGTGGACGAGCGAGCGACGGACAAGTAGTCACGGAGCCGGGAGCTTTGAGTTAGGTAGATTAAACCTTAGCCAAAGCTGGGGTTTAGACCAGCTGAGGCTCTACTTAAATACACAATGACTAGGCTATAAATAGTACTGTGAGAATGCATCCGTGCGGATCGCATGAAAGCATAAGCAAGAAACGTAATAAAAGAAAAATGAATAAACCATAACACTTCTGCCATTCATTTTGCATGGTCTTTGATACTATCTGCAAGGAAAGCACAGGGTTGGCAGAAGGTGTACTTGAAAGCCTTCAAACAGTCAGTGGAGAGGACACTGGACTTCTTTTTTGCTTGTACTGGAACGTTGGGAGACTGTAAATATGTGTTGATAGACTATTCCATCTTAGGCCCACTTTCTTCATCTGGCCAAGGGCCCGTCCACTTGGTATGTGATTTCCCAGACAGCATTCATCATTTAACCCAAATCATATAGATGTGACTGTAGATGAATGGGCAGTGATGGTGGTGAAAGAAAGAGTTGCTGAAGTCATGCAATCTCCGGACTGATCAGTATAAATGTACTTTCCCATATATACTTCCCAAATATGTTATCAGTGGTTACGATTTTGGATGTGGCCTACCGTGAAAACTTTGCTCTCTGTATTCAAATGCGCTATTGCATATTCCCGGAACGGTTGTTACATTGGACCCTGAAGTCCTTTTTTCAAGGACATGTACTGATGACAAGTTTATCAGAAGCTTCCAAATGTCCTTATTCCCATCGCACTCATGTGTCTGATCCTATCTGAACTTCAAGCCTTATAAAAGCTCTCGTCAGGTGTGACATCAGCTCTCCCTCTGATATCATTGGTGACAGCCTTAACCCTGGGTCAACATCCTTTGCTGGGGCTGCCCCGTTGCAGGAAAACAAGGCAGGTGCAGAGGCTTCAATCCCCGTGGAACAGAAATTCCAATCCTATGTACTCTTTCCAGATGGCGGATGCGGCAGAGAGCATTCACTCCGAGTCAGTAATTTTTATACACTCCGGTTCTGACCTTGATATTTTCCTCAGTGTGGAGAATGAAGAAAGTATTCCCACCGATGAGGAGACGAGTGCTGCATTCATGACCAACCATAATCGTCAAAACAAGTGATCACTAGCGCCGAATGGCAGGATCTGGTGCAGTATGACCTTGGTGTGTGAGGACACACAGTAGCAGACGTGATATGGAAAAAGGGATGCGGAATGTGGGGGATTTTTGTACCTGGAACCCCTGTCGCTCGATGGCATTTCTGACTAAGCAGGCCATCCAGCTCGATGACCATTTTTGAAATTCCTTCATCGAGACCAAAAAAGGAAATCGAGTTCAGACATTGGACTACACTAATTATGACGCACGCTCTCCATTCGACTTGTTCTAGTCACTCCATTCATTCCTATGCATATAATTGGCTCATTTCTTTATTTCTTTAAGGTTGTGTGATGATTTCCCTGCCTTTGAAGCATCTGAATTCTCCTGATGTGTCTCAGGCGATGACTATCCGCATCTCCTTCCTTCCAACGCTGGTCAGTAGTGACTTTGCTGCTACCATTGACAAGGAAGCATCGGGCAGAGAGACCATTCAGTGTTTATAAGAGAGACATTAGGCTGACACAATAATTTGTCCATTCAGTGTGGATGTCACAAGAGCAATGTGGGGATTGAAGATGGCTGGATCTTGTCATCTCAAACCTCAGTTCTCCATTTTATGGTATTAATCAGCATTTTCAATGTGTAGTTGCCTTCATCCATATTGGAATCTTATAGTACGCACCACAGAGCATGATTTTATGCGTCCTAGGTGAGAATAAAAGTGAAGAAAACACCCTGCCCAAATCAGGCATCGTCATCCAGCTAAAGCGACTCAAGCCCGGCTTTAGCTGGCTCCTATATGGGCTTGAACCTAGAATGAGTCTGAGCCAATACAGACTCAGGCTCGCCTTATTACTATTGATCAATGGTCACCATAATCCTGAAGTCTTTTTTAAGCAGATATCACCCCATGACAAGCTAATCTGACTCTAACGTTATTGTCGTCTTCTATCTAAAATTGATCCAAAATACATGCCTGCATGCCAATCATTTCGGCCATTGCCTCCAGTGAAATAAAAGCCTCCGTCAGGTGTGACACCAGTCTTATCTTCCCCATCAAGATGCCATCGGATATCGTTGGTGACAGTCCCAACTTGGCGTCGAAGTCCTCTGCTAATGCTTCCCCGTTGCAGCAAGACGATCTGGGCATAAAGGCTCCAAGCCCTAGGGAAGGTGGTATTGAGAACACGAGTCCCGCAGCAGAAGCACAGACCTCCCAGTGAGTAATTTTTTCACCCCTGCATTTGGAGCTTGATATTGCTATCAGTGTGGAGGATGAAGAGCCCACTCCCATACGTGAGGAGCATCATGCCCCGCGTCCATGGCCAATCATGGTCGTTGAAACAACTGAAGACTTCATGGACTTAGAAGACTTGGATGTTCACCGTATCATCACTGCCACCGAAGGTAGAGTCTACCTCAGCATTAGCATTCGGTATGCCAGGGAAAACTAAAGTTTCAGCTCTGTTATATTGGCTTCTGTGTCTTCACATACAGTTTTGGATCGAATGCAGTTTTATGAGCTTTGTTTACTGGTCTGTTGTATTTTCAATACATTGGAAATGTTGCTCTTCTCTTTTCATAATTTGGTTAATTCCTTGTGTTATTTCTGCAATATGATATTACGACGTGAAGATGACTCAGATATCTAGCACTTTTTCATCATCATCCTTGTGTAGGAAGTGACATTGTGCACTTTATGGGAGGAAGGCAATAATTTGTATATAACAAGTAGCACAAACAAGCAGCAAAGCTCACTCCATTAGATTTGGTCACACCTTCAGCTGTCCGTTTTTGTGTAATGATAGTCAATCTTCAAGGGCTCGAAAGATTGCTGACTGTCCTGACATCGATAAGGCTACTCGCTTCCCTCCCCTCTATTCGCTCCCACATACTGCCTGTGCTGCAGTTTCCTACCACTCTCCCAATGTATTGCACTTGGATGCTAGGAAATGCCAGGACTATCGATGGCAGAGACCACGACTATTGCAGAACTGACATGTCAACGTTGTATTTGTGTGGGAAATACAATCTGTGCTTTGCAGAGGGGGATTTAGCATATAGAGACCAATCAAAATGCGGCAGGTTTTGCATCGGTCTTTATACTAGGATTATATCGGATTCACAACATCCTCCCCAAAAAGTAGCCTCATTTGCATACCAAGTTAGTCGTATAGGTAACCCCTGTCGCTCGATGAGATTTATGACTAAGCAGGCCATCCAGCTCGATGACCTAATTTCAAATTCTATCATCGAGATCAAAACAGGCAATAGATCTAGACTTCGGACTTTGCACCTTGGCTTCAAAACTGCCAGAAGCATGTTTGCTGCTGCATATCTGGTGTGCAATGCACTCAGCGACCACTTCGCTGAGAAGACACACAGCCAGGGAAGCCCGGAGCCCAGCAAGTGATGAAGCTTTGTTAAACGCAATTGCTATTCTGCCCATAAATTCATCCTTTCTTTACGCCTGAAAACAGTCTCGACTGAAGATGAATCACCATCTCCTGATGTCGCTTCTGAGGACTTCACTTTCAGTCCTGATGCTCTTGAATCCACAAATAAGCTGTCTTTTGAAGACTTTGTCCGACGCATCCTATCAAGCTCCTGCTTGACTTGGCCAAAATCACATCAGTGGAAACCATCTTACCATGTCACCAAATTATGCCGGCTTGAGTGCCACATAGCAGAGCTGTTTCAATTGTGAGAACTTGGACTCAAATTCAAGCAAATGAGCATCTATCTAGACCAGATTCAGATTCAGAGAAGGAGAACATGGTCTATTCATGGACGAGGTAGGCAGCATACACCAATTTCCTTGCCACCTTTTCTTATATGTCGTACCAGCAGACGACCTCATCATTCTGTTCCACAAGCACCAACCTCATCATGAAATGCATCCCTGCCTGGACAGCCCCAAGTGCCTCTGGCCCGATTATAATACGATTTTCTCCTTTTTTTTGGAATGTATATTTTGAAACAGCAAGTGCAACCTGTAATGTAATTATGTACAGAGCCTGGAAGCTCATCCATGACAGGGGTGGAATCCAAGAATGCGCAGATATATTTTGAGTGCGGGTTAGCACTTGAGTCATATTGCAAGAGGCAAAAAACGCAGAAACTAGTATGATTGACAGTCATTGCTTTACTTTAGCCACAATAAACATAGTTTTAAAATTGTTAGAAGAGAAACATAAATTGGCCAAAGGCTGTCATGAAAAAACACACATCCTTAGCGCATACAAGTATTTCATACGAAGGCATTATAGAACGGACTTGCTTGGTGTGTACTCCGAGTGCATAGATTCATCCTCACCTGACATTGGTTCTGACTCGACATCAGATTCCTGAAGCTCCTCGGGAGCATCCTTCTTTTTCTCTGTATTATCGTCCTTTGACCCACTGTTATCTCTGCTGTGGCCATCCTCTTTCTTTCCTAATTCACAGTCATCTCCATCACTATCATCACTATCATCTTCAACGTCAGAGCAATCAAAATTGGTGGCTGTATTCCAGTCAAAATAGGCACTCAGATCTGTTGTGATTGTTAGATTAGCATATGTGTCAAATTCCCCACTTACCAAGGAGGTCAACTTTCTTGCGAACCAAAAATATGGGCCTAACATGCAAATGTGCCACCCGTCGCTTGTACGCATGGAGAAAGTCGGTGGTCAGCTCCATTTGCAAAAAGGTCTCCAACGAATTTGCAACATCTTGACGAAATGAATCAAAATTAAACATGAGGGATTCATGTTCTCCCTGAGCCTTGCGCACTCTTAAAGCCTTTCGAGCGTAGAAGATCAAAGAACACCCAAAGTGAGCCATGGAGCTTCTAGCAAAATCCCCAATGTTGAGAAACTGAGCATAGACGCTTAATTTGTCATCAACAAGGATGGTGGAATCGATGGAGGGCTCAACGGCATTATTTTCTGCAAGGAAAACTAAACCAAAATCCACCTGCAGACGCCGGATTATGGATATGTAGGCACCTACGGCCATGGTGATTGTGGGCCTCGTGGCGTCGGTGGAGTCTGGCAGGATGCAAGGAAGTAAGGCTGATCCGAATATACACAGATTTCCCAACGCAATGAGTTCGAGCAGTCCGTCTCTTGTTATACTGGGAATGTCTGTGTCTTGAGCTAGTAGTATTGGTAAAAGCAAAGAATGCCACTAGTTAGAACCGCTCACTTTCAGGACCTTTCTCACCAATAACGGTGTGAAAGTAACACATCATACGAAGGAGGAGCTGATGAAGCTCTGGGTGTACAACATTGATGATCCTGTACCCAAGCATACATGTATGAACCCAGCCCGAGACGGTTTTCGAAAGGGTAACGGTGGAATAGAAATGACCACCCCTCACAATGCAGTTCTCGAGCGTCAGAACAGCATGATGAGTATCAGGACGCATATAACTTCCTTCGTGTTAGCATGTTTCAACATATTGCAGCATGAACTTACAAGGCAGAGCCGGGTTCCAGCAAAACAACTTTGGCCTCCCATTCCCTAGGATCCGGAATAAATCCAGGCGCCCAATCACCCCATATACTCGTCTATACGACTGTCTTGTCTTCGACTCCCATGATGCTGAAACACGTACCACAACTTCTGCCCACAAAGAACTTCCATGAAGGTACCAACACCGTGACAATCAGAATGAATATAACTGATCGCTCCTTTCGTCGCGACTAACCAGAAATTTGTTGCTGAGATTGGATAACTGGCATCGAAGATATCTTCTGGAAGGTCAGATGTCTGCTCAAAGGCTCTGATGTGGCTTGATACAATCCTAACATTCATGAGCCTCCAAAATGAAATGAGCTAAGGTTTTCAACATACGATTGTAAAGGGTGTCCAGTTTCAGAAGTGCTGCAGGGCAGAGAGAGTGCGTTTAAAAACATGTCCTTCATCTTCCAGGCCTTCCTCATATATTTCACGTAAGGAAAGATTGACATGAAGATAGTCCTTTGTCTGGTCAGAGCTTTGCCTTTGATGATCTAGTGGAGCGTAAGGATCAATATTTCACGGAAGGGGTGAGCCTAACCTTGGACCTCTCGGACAATATCAACATTGCCAACCTTAGATAGGTCGTTCAATGACCAGGTGAGAGGTGAAGTCTTTGTGCCATAAAGGAATATGTGGTAGTTACGGAAGGTCTCCAGGGTCGCCGTAGGATTCTTCATTGCATTGGAAAAGCTCAGAGTCACGATCATTGATTCTTCCAAGCCCTTTCCTGTGTCGGGCTTGTACCGGGACTACCTGTCTTGTCATTAACAATGCAATCATTCCAACTGCGAATGGTGATTCGATCGTCAAGCTCCTAATCAAAAGTGAATATCTAAGATTTCCGAGAGAGAGAGTGTACTAACATTGGACAGCAAGGGAAAAAAATCGCAAGAAATGTACTCCTTTCTCTTCGGATCCCAAAGGATCGGAGAAAG